CCAGACGACGAAAACTCTGCTCCAACAACAGTTTCCGAACCTGCAACATCGACCCTAACACATCTTCCTGCAACAACACTTACTCCTGCGATAACCTACTGACCCTGCAACACTAACTTCTGAACCACCAGCCACCGAATCATCTGCTACCCTCAGTCATGATGAAACCTACTCTTCAAGCCGCACGGAGACAGTTGATGAAAGAACAACCAGAAGCATAACAACACACACACACAGCTTCAGCACAAGGCCACCCGACCCTTACCACCACTGACCATCCTGCAACAATGACGCATCTATTCATCCCATAGCACCGCCACCACCACCCACTAGTACATAGTGGTTGGACTATTACACTACTATTTGTGCCAGCAACTCTGGCTATTATCTCTTCGACTCCACCTTTCTAATATATTATTCCTCTATTATGTCCATACATATATATTTATTTCTCTAACGCACGCACAAACCCTAGGAAGTAGCCTGTAGCTGCTGTCTAACTCCAAGGTACATATTTACTGCTAGGTGAACAGTTGCATCAGGGTGAAAGAAACTTTGCCAAATTCTTTCTCCAACCCGTCCTCAGACCAAGTCCATTCCATCCAGCGGTCGACCCCAAAGACGCATTCATACATTTTAACAGGCTGTTCATTCAAAACAGGATTTTTTCGGGGAGGGAGGGGGGGGGGGAGGGGGCAGGGATATTCCTGCTCGAGCCTTAAGCCTCTGGCTGGCCCACTAAGTGTTGCTTGTTTTTGTTTTACTTGGGCGGAGTATTTGTGACTCGTATGGTCGCTTCAGTAAGATTTTGTCCCACGTGTTTAACAACAACTTCTGCTCTGTTGAATCTAATTTGAAATCTTAATGGGTTTGTAACTGTGCACTGTGTTAGATAATGTTCCAGTGGTCTGTTGTGGCTGTAACTGTGCACTGTCAGATAATGTTCGTGGTCTGTCGGGTATTTCTCCACAGTGCTGACATTTCCTCTCATCTTCCGGAACCTGTAAGCCTATTTCCCATGCACATGGGTATCCAAGCCTGATGCGATGTAAGTGTACTTCTGTTGCTCTACTGTTCCCTTTCATCAAACTAAGGGGATCGTAGTTGGTTGAATTCTTGTACCAACCCGCAGATCCTGATGTTGCAACTGCTGTGTTGTGGTCACTGTACATCTTTTGCATGGCTCCGTTTCTAATTACTTTCTTAATCTGTGATAGACTCTGTGGTATGTAAATGTCTACATTTCTTTTAGTTGCAAGTTTTGCAGTTTCGTCTGCAATGTCATTCCCTATTATTATTCCCACATGATAAATTAATATTGTTATATATTAGCATATTTAGGCATTGGTTAGGTTAGGTGTTCAGGTTGTTTGCGATTATTTGTAATACGTGGGTGAAGCATTTATAGAATTGTGGCTCAAACAGAGGACGTAAGCGAAGCACTTGTTCCGGAAGTGTTCGGACGTCATCAGTTGGGAGTAGTGTGTAAAGTGCTTTTCCTTCATATACCAGCCCGTCCTCCAAACAAAGACCAAAAAAATAATTCCATGCACCCGCCTAACCCCCTGTTTATGAATGAAAAACGGTTTACACACGACTCAACGAATGACATCCGAACACTTCAACAGTGCTTTGGTGACTACTTTTGTTCTACTACTAACGCTGTAAATGCAGCCCGTCCTCGCATACGAAGATTCAAGCTCGTTAATCCAGCCGCCAAACCCTCTGTTTAAGAAGGAAAAGCGGTTTACACACGACTCAACTGACGACGTCCGAACACTTCCGGGACAAGTGCTTCGCTCACGTCCTCTGTTCGAACTACAATTCTATAAATACTTCACTCATGTACTTTAAATACAAATAATCGCCAACAGATCCTAAACACCTAACCTACGCCTAACTATACAAAGATTTTCATGTATAACAAAACTTATATGCAAGAACAAACCAATGTTTAATACACAGTATGTTAAAAATGACGAATGCGTCTGGGGATGACTGCCGCTGCTTTAAACAACCTAGTGTGAGGACGGGTTGAATACAAATACAAGAATCGGCAACAGAACCTAAACACCTAACCTAACCGGTGCCTAAATATGCACAATATGCTAATATATATAATATTAATTTATATTTGAGAAAAGTTATATTTTGAATGAACAATGTTAAAATTTATGAACGAGTCTTTGGGGTCGACCGCTGGATAGAATGGATTTGGTCTGAGGATGGGTTGGTCCACTCAGCGGCGAGGCCCTACGGTACCTTTCCTCCTCCACCTTATAAATCCAGTTCCCTGCTAAAGATATTCCCCAAGTACAGCCCCGCTCCTGTGCCAGGTAAGTCTACTACGGGCTCACCATAACCCGTGCTACTTGAAACTTTGTTTCAAGTAGCCGAATCTTAAACAATAAAGATATTCTGCATCCTTATTCCACCATTCTATCCCTGCTTTCCAGCACTATGGTCATCGGAACTGGAATGTACAGACTTCCTATCAATAAGGAAATTAATTACAAATGTAATTATTACGTCACAGAACTACCCCCCCCCCACCACCCGCTGTGATACGCGAGCTTAACAGGCATCAGCCCATGCTTCAATGTTTTTTTTTTTTGTAATTGTCGCCAGCAATGGCTAGTAAATCGGGAGATTTACCAGACTCGTCATTTATTTAGTGGCCTGGACAGGGACAGTAAGCTGGCGGCTTGTTAAAATTCACCCTAACCCCCCCCCCCCACTTTCATCACCACCATTTTCCCGAGAATTTTCTCAAACTGGATATTTAACTCCAATGATATGTTGGCATTTTTGGGTTCTGGGTAGTTAATTCCATGGGGTTTATAAGCCTATGGGTGAGAAAGCAGTATCTGTTTTCTGTCCTGCTGTGTGGCTTGTTGAGCTACAAGCTGTCTCCCTTTGTACATGGTCTGGATTATTATCTTCCAAACTGATCAGTATTTCACAAGATTCAATGAGATCCGCTCCGTCATGTCTGGTTTGCAGTACTGTCAGTCCTGTGGCCCTCAACCCTTCCTGGTACGAGTATCGACTTGGTTCTGGGACGATTTTTGTCTCTGCGTTATATTTCTCCAAAGCAGATATAATTGTGTCGGGGGACAGGAAGCCAGTATATACTGCAAGGTAACGTGGGGGGATCACCCCGTTTCCGACTCTCCCAACTGTCAGGAAAGACAAGGCTCGCCCTACTTTTACATTAAAAAACAGGAAAAAAAACATTTTTAATCTCTAGGAGAGGAAGCAGCTACCTTGCCGTAACCTATTTCAAACATCGCTGACCGCCTGTTTGTCAGTTACTCACATGGCAACGTCAAGCTTAAGCCTTTCTTCTCCGTAACTTTCCCACTTTGTCCAGCTACCATCTTGTCTCCAACCCAAGGTCGCACAAGGCAAGGGCAATAATAATAACTACGATTTCTCCGAAATTCAGTTCAAATGTCTTGCACATCAATATACATTAATCTGCAACTCTAATTATTACCATCAATAGACATTCTAAGACTATCCTACTCTAGTATCCTAGTCTTCTAGAAATGGTCATAAATTATCCCGTTATATTTTACTATAAATTCAACGCATCAATTTATCAACTATTTTCACAAAGAATCTCAACAATATCCTTTTTCTTGGTAACCTTAACACAGCCGCTCTCTCGGCCTTCTGGGATTCTAAGACCCGACGTAAACACTATAGTTTCATTATAAAACCACTACAGGCCCCTTGCCTTCTATTACGGGATATTCATGCCCGTGCCACCTCTTGGGTGGCTTAATCTTCTTCAATCTTACCTTCTAATCCCTGTAGGTGTACCTCCACTGTGCGTCTTACTAGTTCCTGCCTACTGGAGGATATTATTCGTACACACAATATGATGCCAAGACAATAGGAAGGATAAGAAACTTGGATGATTGTCATGCCCTTCATGAAGACCTGAACAAAAGTATATGGAACACCACTTGGCAAATGGAATTTAATGTGAATAAATGCCATGTTATGGAATGTGGAATAGGAGAACAGACCCCACACAACCTATAAATTATGTGAGAAAGTTTTAAAGAATTCTGATAAAGATCTAGGGGTGGTTCTAGTTAGAAACTATCACCTGAGGACCACAAAGAACGTTGTGTGAGGAGCCTATGCCACGCTTTCTAACTTCAGAATTGTTTTTAAATACATGGATGGCGAAATACTAAAGAAATTGTTCACGACTTTTGTTAGGCCAAAGCTAGAATATGCAGCAGTTGTGTGGTGCCCATATCTTAAGAAGCACATCAACAAACTGGAAAAGGTGCAAAGACATTCTACTAAGTGGCTCCCAGAACTGAAGGGCAAGAGCTACGAGGAGAGGTTAGATGCATTAAATATGCCAAAACTAGAAGACGGAAGAAAAAGAGGTGATATGATCACTACATACAAAATAGTAACAGGAATTTATAAAATCGATAGGGAAGATTTCCCGAGACCTGGAACTTCAAGAACAAGAGGTCATATATTTAAACTGACTAAACAAAAATGCCGAAGAAATATGAAATTTCACTTTCGCAAACAGAGTGGTAGACGGTTGGAACAAGTTAGGTGAGAAGGTGGTGGAGACCTATCCAGAGCTAGTACATACCAAGCCTAAAGAGAACTTCGTTCTCTTTTAAAGTTCCTCGGGACGACACATTTGTATCAGCTAAGGCCTTAATTTTTTAGTGCATGCCCTTTATTTTGTATTCATATATTTAAATCCCTCATTATAAATCCTAGTATTTACCCCACACACGAGACTGGCAATGTAGTACATTGTTTTAATATACAGTACATAATATACATTTCATACCTATTACAAACTAAGGGAATATTAACTGATCTAACAGTTATGTAAAACATCAAGCCTATTAGTGTATACTTAAAGCTGTGGTATTTTGTGCATACCCACAATCTCTACATATTGGACAAATTTTCGGGGTGTTACCCAAACAAATATAAACAGAACTCACGTGAAACGCAATAACCGCTGTTGTCTGCACCTCCCGCGCCAGCTGGGCCAGAGGAGTCTGCGTCACTCGCGGTTGTGTTGTGAGCACAAAACTCTTCAGATAGTTGCCAGGCGTTTCTTCCGCACTTTGTTGAAATTCTGTTAAAAATACTTATAGTTCAAGATCTCTCTAATTGGAATGCAATGCCTCAAGCCATTCTCTATGAAAAACTTCCTCCAGCCTTAAAAATTGTATTAGCAACTCGTGCAACTAAATGGCCACATTAAGCTTTTTTTTTTTAAGTTAATTTATTATGCACCCCGTACCAATCCTGTGGGCGGTAGTGGAAAGTGTTATAGAGGCACATAATGGGCTCACAGACTGAATCCCACAATTCATTTGGCTAAGTAAGTTGCAGTGTTGAGCTGGTTACAAAATTCAATGCACATCGTCACATCAACAATGGCCTCGAGACCGACCACAAGTACAGTTTCTAAATTAAAGCAACCGATATGTGGAGAACTAGTGTCACAATTGATGTTTTTCTTGCGTATTAAAAATGTTTTTTTATAATTTGTATAAATAAACATGTGTCATACAAAATGACAGACAACCCCATATAACCAGTAGGATCCAAAACTTACATAAGCAATAAAATGACGACGTCATAGTGACATATACAACCTCCACACACATATATTCTGTAAAATTTTAACTTATTTACGTTAGGATAGGCTAGGAGGGGGCCAAGCCAGTGTTCGCACTCTTAAATACCCGCCATAGCACGGTGTCGTCCCACAGGAAAATTCTTTCTTTCATTCTTTCCTCCAAAAATCCAGCGTCCCCTGGATACTTATTTTGTCACAAACGATAGCACCATTTGGCAACATTGCTGCACACCTGACAGGGTTAGTTTATGTTTTGCAACCCATCATATGAATGTGTGTGTGTTTTAGAGACGGTGAAAAGTGTGTGTAGTAGATACGATAATCAACTATAGTAGGAGAGAATAATTTGGGAGTATATATAATTTCAACTATCTCCAGAGGCACAAACTAGGTAACATCGGAGGCATATGGGACCCTGGCAAATATTAGAACGTTTAAAAACCTAAATAAGGACTTAAAAGGCAATTTAGATAAATTAGATTAATATTGGAATATGCAGCACTGACATGGAATCGGCACCTTGTGTGAAGAATAAAATAAAAATTCAAGTACATAGGCATACAACAAGATTAGTATCAGAGCTAAGAAGGAAAGCTATTAAGATAGGCTATGTGAACTAGACCTCACATCATTAGAGATGAAAGAGGCGGGACATGATCGCAAAGTAAAAGATACTGAGGGGGTATTGACAAATTGGAAAAAAGCCGCCTCTTTTAAAGAGAGAAAGTAGGGCAAGAGGATATAGGTGGAAGCTGGAAATGCAATTGAGCAGATGAATAGAAATATTTGTACGTTACGTCAGCAGTACATTCAGTGGAATGTACTGAAAGTTATTTAAACCACCTCCAACAACTTTAAGACCAGATTCAACCAAATTCGAATGTTAGAATAGTTGAATTTCAACGCAACGGGTATAAGGCTAGTAGGCAGAGGCATAAAGAGCTAATCTCACTTTCTTGTAGACACCGAAAGGCTATTACTAGCACCACCACCAAGTGCTCTCGAATCCAACTGGAAGCAGCAACAAAATTCTTGCCTGACAACTTTGTCCGGCGCTAAACATCACCTAGCAGTTATCCAGAGGAGCATAACCTTCCCACAAATTCAACCTGTCCTCAGGCTACGCTCAAAGCTGCAACCGTCCCCAAAAATGCCTTGATAAATTTAAATTAAGAATAGGCTTTTTTTACTAGACATGCATTAACATTCTATGCATTCTAGACATGCATTAACATTCAGCCGTGGGTTAGATTAGGTGTTTAGGTTATGTTGCTAATGTATGTATTTGAAGTACGTGGATGAAACATATTGCATTGCTATTCGAACTGAGGTCGTCAGTTCAAGAAATGTTCGAACGCCATCAGTTGCAATTCGTGTGTAAACTTAATTCATAAATTGCTGGATTAACGAGCATTTGGCCTGTTGTTGTTGAAGATTTGCACATACAAAACCCAGATAATACATGAACTTCAATCAAAATTCGCTCAATTTCCATATATTCTAAACGCATCTAGCATAAACGAGTTCATCCTCATCAACTAATGACAAATGCTCGTTAATCCAGTCGTCAAACCCTGTTTATGAATGAAAAACAGTTTACACTAATTAAACTGAGCAACTGATGACGTTCGAACATTTCTCCAACACTGCTTTACTGAAGACCTCTGTTCGAATCTTAACGCTATAAATGCTTCACCCACGTACTTCAAATACAAATAATCGAACATATCCGGAACAAGTGCTTCACTGACGAATTTTGTTCGAATCAAACAGAACCTAAAAACCTGCAGACCTAATTACACAAAACTACAATAAAAACGTTTATAAAAACCAGTCATGTACGAATACACACACTGGCTTCCTGACGCCCGTCAAGGAATTATTATTCCCCACCGCTTTACAAAATACTTTGGTTACCTGTCAAAACTAGATGTCCTTTTCAGGACAAATGGCAAGTAACCAGCTTCCCGTCCTCGATGAACCTCCTGTTTATATAATAGTAACTATGTGCACCATAGTACAAACCACTGACGTATTAAGAAATTAGATTTCGTATTCCCTTTATAATCCGAAAAAAACTAAAAAACGTAAATATTCCCAGAAAAAATCTTTTAAGGTCTGTACAAATTCAATATGTCCAATTTCCACTTTTTAATTGCGTTGAACGTCGGTATGTGCTTATGGTCAACCTAATCACTAAGTATTACCTAAACAGGAGAACGGGCTGATTTCCCCTAAGTAATCCTGGCTTAGGATTGCTTGTTTAGGCCTAGAATAGCTAGGTTAAATAGTGTACCACTCTTTCAAATTACATTTTAAGTACTCAAATACAAAACACTTTTGTGCGTAACTTAGTATATTTGTACACTCGACCAATAGTTACAAGACACGATTGGGCTGATCGCATAGAGATCTTTAATATACTGAACAAGCTGGAGAATATTAATCCAACCCACTTCTTTAACATACAATTAAGGGTCAACAGCTAAGGAAAGCAAGACAAAAGAGGAGATGCCGTTTCACAGCAATATACCTGTAGAATCTGCTACTCGACGAAGCTATAAATACCTAGATATGACTAATTTAAAATCCCGCTGGAAAACCCCTTGGGAACATTTAGTGGGTCGTTGACAAGACGCCGTCATGTCCCACCAACGACATTAAGAGATAAAGGCTCCCTCACGTAAATTTAGGTTATCTTGAGATGATTTCGGGGCTTTTTTTAGTGTCCCCGCGGCCCGGTCCTCGACCAGGCCTCCACCCCCAGGAAGCAGCCCGTGACAGCTGACTAACACCCAGGTACCTATTTTACTGCTAGGTAACAGGGGCATAGGGTGAAAGAAACTCTGCCTATTGTTTCTCGCCGGGGCCCGGGATCGAACCCGGGACCACAGGATCACAAGCCCAGTGTGCTGTCCGCTCGGCCGACCGGGAGCCGGTCAATAAGTAAATAAGTTCTATAAATTTATAGAACGCATAGAATAGAATAGGAATTGGGCGCAGCTTAGTCATATGCCATGGACGGGTTCCCATTGCATGTTATAGTTACATTATAATTAACAAGGCTGGTATTAATCTTAAATGAGTAGTTATGTGCGTTGGTGCTGGCCTTACTGTGATTTTCTTTAACCATAAGAGTAAATACTCACCACGATAAACTAACACGGTCGACGAGCGTCAGCTTTATAACAGTGTGACCACAACGCCAACAGGAAAGATGTGGTGCGCAGTTGGTGAGGAAGACTATGGTCTCAGGAGCACACCAGCAGGAGCAGCGGCCGCGTACCAACTGGACCCCAACAATGACCCCGCAACATTCACACCCCGGAGACCAGTCCTAACAGCCTGTTGAAGGCAACCCTCTCTGTCCACCTATTGCCACCTAGTAATTTTTATCACAAAAAGTAACATATACGCTATCAGTAATTTATTTGAAATTATAGACAAAGACGTTCACTCACCACTTTCTTGGTTAATAACAATGAAAAATGCGAAATTAAATATTAACAAAAAAATCATCTTGTGTCTAAGCGAGCGTTCAATTTGGTAACATCAATACAGTGCTATTCTCTGGTTGCTGAGTGCACACGACGAGTCACAATAACGTGGCTGAAAAATGTTGACCAAACTACATTTATTTATTTATTTATTTTTATTTATTTATTTATATACAAGAAGGTACAATGGGTTTGTGAGAATACATAGCATAGTACAGTAATTGCACTCTTGTAAAGCCACTAGTACGCGCAGCGTTTCGGGCAGAAACTAGAAAGTGATACATACTAGAAAGTGAAGAGACGACGACGTTTCGGTCCGTCCTGGACCATTATGTACCTATTTGTATATAAATAAATAAATAATCACAATCGACTTGAGAATGGTCCAGGACGGACCATAACGTCGTCGTCTCTTCACTTTCTAGTGTGTGGTCTGGTCAACATTTCTCTGGTTGCTGTTTATAAACAGCATATTTTCATGCTGTTTATATACAGCATTCATTTTATATTTTCATGTTCATAAATATGGAATATTTATCAACAAAGTTAAAAGGTAAAGCTATCATAGAAAACTAGTTACTTATGTACCGTAAGTACAGTAGTATCATTTATGTATATGGTATGTAATGAATTATTATGCGCGTAGTAAGTAATGGAATATTCTGGTTTATGCATGTGATAAGTAATGGAATATTCTGGTTTATGCATGTGATAAGTAATGGAATATTCTGGTTTATGCATGTGATAAGTAATGGAATATTCTGGTTTATGCATGTGATAAGTAATGAAATATTATGATTTATGCACATGGTAAGTAATGAAATATTATGATTTATGTACATGGTAAGTAATGAAATACAATATTATGATTTATGTGCATGATTTAAATCAATTTCAAGGTTATATGTATCACAGATAGTTCTGAATGGTGCTCCAGATATGCAATAACAGTACAACTTTTGTCTCGAATCCTTATTTTATCAAAACTACGC